ATGCATGTGTGGAAAATATTGATATACTACTTGTGACATTTCATTTCTTTTTGTTTGGCTAATGACCATGGTGTAATCAAGGACTATTATATGGCTGATACAGATACTGACAATGGGGCTCACAATATCAAATGGAAAACTGTATCAAGAAATGATTCAATATGACAGACCCTTTCAGAAAGGAAAAAAAAAACCACGTCATCCTCTGGCTGAAGTTTATAATACATTTTTTCTCACAAACACAATGAATAAAATCTCAAGAGAAATCAACCTACATTGGCATCGTCAACCAAAACAAGCTCACCAAAGCAAAACTGATTTTTTTACACACCAAATTATTCAAGCTATTATGAGCCTCACACTACCTGTGCATTTCTCACATGTCATTTTTATTACTGAGTTATTAGTGGGAATATTTGAAATTGTGTCAACAGAACCATTTCATCAGTCTTGCTTTCCCTATTACTTCGTTGTAATGATTGAATGGCTGGAATGGTTCGAAAGGCATTGATTTGACTGTATGGTACATTACCCCCCTCCAACCCACGCCTACTACAAATGTCTCCTAATTTATGTTTGTTGATAAATAAAACATGATTTATACCCATTAGCTGTGATAAATGACAATTTTATAGAGATAATGGAGGGTAGTTTGAAGAAGAATAGAAAAAGTCAGAGTCCAAGATTTGTAATACGAAATATGATTTATGATAGAAAGTGTACTGTAAAATTATAAATTTTTGCCACATTAATCTGTCACAAATTGAAAATAAAAGCAATTTTCACAACATGAAACTGGAAAAACTTGTAATGAAGAGGAAACAAATCGTCGCTGTTTTCACGAAGTGACGGTAGTGAAAAAAAATTGCATTCACTTTGCGTTACGATTTTCCTCGCTACCGTCACTTCGTGAAAACAAGGACGAAATGTGCTGGCAGTTATGATTCAATCATTTTGCAGAATGAAAATTCCACAAGTTCATTCCACTCATAAAATTTGCGTACATTTAAATAGTCTTTGGGTTTTATTATAGGCCACTATTATTTCAAGCAGTGTCATTTCATGAATATCGAGTTTTGGCAAGGTCTGTAGAAAGAAATAATAATCTCACATACAAAAAAAAATCCCATTCAGACACATTAAGAGATTGGCAATTCCATATTCCATGTCTATGCTCATCTTTTCACTTGCTCAGTTCGGAGGATTGAGTTTCCTTTTACTGACATACAAACACAACACCTGCTTTTCCAGACATTACAAGCCATGTTTCTCCTTGCCGATTGTACAGACAATTGTTGGCTTGGAGCACATGCTGAATAATACAAAAGTAATCCTTGTACGTAACATGGCATATTACCATCCAATACACTCTTGCTGGTAATGGCCAAAGTACTCCATGACATATGCCTAGCTTCAATAGGATCAATAGTGAATACATTTCATTGTGTTTTCAGGACACCTGGAAATTCAGGTCTTGCATTAAAAACTCAATGACGGATCTGGGATTTTGAGAAAAAAGTTGAGCGGACACGCGCCACCGCATCATAAAATGTTACACAAATTATCTTGGGAGTTGGCTGAATAATAGAGCCGAGGATGCGTATACTACGGGAGTTTCTTCAAATTTGTAATGGTGCAGCTCCCCCCCCCCCCCCCTCCAGGGTTTGCCCTGGATTTCAAAACAAGGAAACTACAAAGCCCAGCTATTAAGGAGTGCTCTTTAGATTTTTGTTGAGAAGAAAGTGAACAATGCCATTGATAGGAAATTAGGAATATGTCAAATTTAGAGAGAAATAAGGGAGTGAAAGAGAGTGAGAGAGGGAGAGAGGGAGAGAGGGGGACCCTAATGAAGAGAAGAGGAAAGGGAAGGAGGGAGGGAAGGGGCAGGAGGAAGAGAAACAAAGAGGGAAATGAAGATGCAGAGGCAGACATAATGAGACAAAAGATGAAGAGAGAGAGAGAGAGAGAGAGAGAGGGAGAGAGAGATGCAGAAATCCCTAAAAGATTATGGGAATGAAAACTTGAAAATGATTTCCTATAATAAGTGGAAAACAATTTTTGTCATAAGATAACCAAATTAAAAAGAATGGAGCCACCCTATGAATCAATGTATAAACTATATAGAATTAGCAACATTCCGCAGCTAGGCACAAGTCAGCCTTATTTTCTCTACCTTTCCCATTTTAAAGATTCATCTGTATTTTTAAATGCACACCTAAATACAAACTAAAAAAAAAAACTAAAGGAGTCCGACTACGTGTTACATGGATGTAGACTACACCGTATCATATGCCATGCTCTCGTGGAGAAAGTTCGTTCTCATCTCGTGCAGGACAAAAATATTCCTAAATGGGGAGATGAGGCACTTTCTCATGCTAATAAAGAGAGGTACAGAGAAAGGTGGCTCTAGCTTCTAACACATGAGAATGCCTCTGGCTTCACCGACACTTGGGCTGTCCCATTAGTATAAAGCACATGAGGGCGGGTATGTTCATCAAATTCACATTATGCATACTATGGGATAGGAAGCGGTTTTATAATAATAAAAAATATATTTTGGTATAGCACAAAATGTTTCAATATGCTTTACACAATAGAATACAGGAGTGGAAATGGTGCACTGGGTTCATAATTATGCTTTGGGAACCTCTTTGAATAAATACTGGTGGTCAAGGTGCTGATTAAATGTCAAAATAATCTATAAAGGCCTGCTGTTAATTTTTGTCTTATATAATTTAGACTGTATTTCATTTATTTGTTCCAATCTAACTCTTTTTAATAATCGATAAACACACTATGGTTTGGCACATTTTCTTGAACAGTAAAATTTGTTGTTAAATACAATAGATTGTTGCAAAAATAAATGTATGAAATATAGATTTTGAAAAAAAATGAAGGTTCTCATTGATTCCAATACATCTTGGCTAAGTATATGGGCTCTGATAATAATTTACATGAACTACTCATGTTTTATGATTTTCTGCATATTTAGAGACAAAACAAGTCATCAATGAGAAGGCTGGGTTCAGGTAAAGTGATTTAAAAAAAAAGAAGAAGCTGTTGTTCTATTTTGTTTCCTTTGTGCATGAATATCACAGCGATAATGTGTTAAGACTGCTTTTGAAGTTTTTATAGTACTGTCCTATAACTCCTGTTCAAATACAACAGTAATTTTTTTTTTTAAATGGTGATGCAACATGTGAGTGTAGTCCTATATATAGCTCTTACCAATGTACCGGTACATGTAGGTCGAAGTAATTTTCAGCAAGATTTGGTCAAATTGTTGATTCAACTTTTAATGATTCTATGTGGTTAATATGCACAATCATTCTTGTGTAGTACACAATTGACCTCTCTCCAGCAGGCTCTAGGGAATTTCTATCAAAATGCAATCACATGACCAGCTTCCTAACTTCATCTTTTGGCTGCTATAGTATAGAATTTTTCTTCCTAGGCATCATTATAGTACATTGTATGAGTTGTTGCTAAATTGGACAATTTTCAACACAATGTTCCAGCACATATTTTTGATTTATACAATATGTACAAATCAACGACTGATCTTGAAAGTGGATAAAGGATGAAGACAGAGAAAATGTTTTGTTGGATAGCTGATGAGATCTGCTGACTCAAGTCCAGAGGGCTTTTGATACATTGTACGAGTCCTTTGTTATACCTCGTCTACATCTGTGCTATGCATGAAGCAGCATTCATGAATGTGTTATGCAGACACGGTATGACTCATGCCACGTGTGTCTAGCTACCATAACCTAGATGTTATATCGTTCTCTTGTCTGCACCCCCAGACAGCTCAGGCAATCAGCTCGAGCAGGGCAGCATTACATGGAGGAAAAACTCATTACAGTGGGGCATTATTTTTTTTAAACGGAAGGTTGTTATGTTGTTAATAGCATTAAAACTCCAGTTTCCCTTTCAGTGAATAAGTATCGTTACAATTTGTATCATTGCTAGAAATGTGAGTAATTATGAGGAAAAAACAAATTAGAGATGAGTATCGGTGTACCTGTCGGTGGAATATAGTAGATTTCAATTATGATTATCAGCCTCAGATGGAAACAAAAGATGCACGCATGGGGGAGAAGAAACGGGTCAGACAAGAGAGGAGTAGTCACAAGGGAGGAGGAGGAGAGAAAAGAAAAGAGGATGAAGTGATGAGGAAGAGAGAGAAGAGAAGAGAGAGAGAAGAAGGAAGGAGTAAAAGAGGGGATAAGTAAAAAAGAATTGGGAAGAAGAGGGAAGAGGGAAGAGGAGGGAAGATGGGGAGGGGGAAGATGGGGAGGGGGAAGATGGGGAGGGGGAGGGGGAGGGAAGATGGGGAGGGGGAAGATGGGGAGGGAAGAGGGGGAGGGAAGAGGGGGAGGAAAGTGGGGGAAGGAAGAGGGGGAGGGAAGAGGGGGAAGGAAGAGGGGGAGGGAAGAGGGGGAAGGAAGAGGGGGAGGGAAGAGGGGGAAGGAAGAGGTGGAGGGAAGAGGGGGAAGGAAGAGGGGGAGGAAAGAGGGAAGAGGAAAGAGGGGGAGGAAAGAGGGGGAGGAAAGAGGGAAGAGGGGGAGGAAAGAGGGGGAGGAAAGAGGGAAGAGGGATAGGGAAGAGGGGGAGGGGAGGGGAAGGGAACAGGGAAGGGGGAAGGGGGAAGGCAAAAGGTGATGAAGAGAGGGAGGTAGAGAGAATGGAAGAGGAAAAAGGGGGAAGATGAGGAGGAAGAGGGTAAGATAAAGAGGGTTATGGGATGAAGAGAATGAGAGAAGAAGATAGGAAGGAGAGGGGAGGTAGATAAAAAGAAGACAGAGGAAGAGGAATAGTGGATGGAGACTAAAATACCCCAAAAAGGAACATAGGAGAAGGATTAGAGAGTTAATGAGGAAGTCCCAGACCTAAAAAAAAAGGGGAGATAGGAGGAAAATGGTGAGGGAAATTAAAACATACATGACCAAGTATGATAATTTAATTGGAAATGAAATGCAGTGAGTACGGGAACCTACCTCTGGCTGTACCAGCTGTAACCTAAGCTTCTGATGCTGTATACTGGTAGCCTTCATACTGATTTGAACTTTGACATAATCAAAAGCTCTGAACTTCACGTCACCTGCATTCTGACTTGGCTCCTGCATAAAGAAATCAAATCAAAGAACACTAGATTAAAGATAAACTTGAGTACTGGTAATGCGATTGCTTTGTGAAAGAAAAGGTGTGGAATAGTTAATGATATAGCATGTAAGTAATGGTGTGTAATGCAAGGTTCTGGAGTCATCAAAATCATCATAAATTTGGCAGAGTCTTGGTAAAGTAACAATCACTTACACAGAAAGATGTATATGGGACAACACACATGATGTCGGGGCTAATACTACCCTGATTTCCTTAACTTTCTATGTTCATTACTCAGCCAGTATACATTTTCTTCCAAAATTGTTTGGCACATGACATTTATTTGTAATCTTGAACATTCAGTGTAAGTTTCGTTAGATTCTGTGAGAATTCATTTTCTTTTTTTACCAGAACTCAAGTTTATCTTTAATTCATGTCATTTCAATTCAATATAATCTTAAAGACCTTTTTTGATACATAATTAAATGTCTTGGTATTTGGGGGGAAAAGATGATGGAATGTATGGAAAATAGATCAATATGTTGAAAGTGTTTGTACATGTGATGCAAGAGAATTGTCAGCAAAGGGGTGTTTTATAATGGATAGCATGATTGACGAATGGGAAACTATGGTGTTTTCTAATTGACAAATAATCAAAGTAAAAAACATTTTATGTGTCAACGAACGGGCAATGAGAGTAGAAAAATATTATCTGTTCAAATCAAAGGAAACGCTAAACCGGGTTCTAAAAAGATCCAGAAATTTGAGGAGTACTTCATTCTTGTCATTAAATTTTGCTGATGCATTTGTTAGTATTCAGATAGGTTTTATTTTATCTATTTTCATTTAGACGGCTGACTGTATCATGTATAAATGGGACTTAAAGGAGGAAGTACAAGTCCCTTTTTTAAAGTGGAATACAGTGGAATAATAATCACTGCTCAGACATTAATCCTTCACTTCGCAGACTCCAGGTTTGCCATTAAACCATTCCTTATCTGTTCCACACTACTGAGCATATTTACAGGGCCATTTATCTCCCAGGATAGCAAATAATAGACGTATCATGGGACTCATCCAATTTATTTACTGTTTTGTCATCTTGACAATGACAGCACAACAAAGGATCCGCTACAAAACAAAATGCCTCAAAACAAATACAATAGATTATAAATACGATGTGACATGGTTTAATGATCAAGGAACTTCTGGCTTTAAAAAACAACAAGGGATATATTGGAAGGGGGTAGATTACAGCCGACTTCCCCTTTTGGAGGCATGCCTTGATCCTCTTTTCTGCACCGTTTGGCCCTAGTTTGGCATCATATGGATCAAGAAGGAACTGCATCAAAGTTTAATGTCACTGCACTTGTTTACTTGCAGTGTCATTATGGATGGGGAACAGAGTTCTTAAATATTTTTATGATATGGAATCTTTGGGAAGTTTTCCAGTAACCCCTAATGTTTAGAATAGTATACAAACAAGAAAACAGTTCATGAATAGGGAACAGAGTTCTAAATTTTCTGAAAGGTGGAATCTGTGGGAAAATTCCCCTGATTCTCAATTGTTTACAATTATACGACAAGGAAGAAGTTAATGAAAAACATGGTATTATGTATTGGGTACTAGATTCACCACTAGCCCCACATGTTCCCCTCCTATTAAAGATAAACTCCAGTACTGGTAAAAAAAAAAATAATAATTCTCACAGAATCAAACGAAACTTACACTGAATGTTCAAGATTACAAATAAATGACATGTGCCAAACAATTTTGGAAGAAAATGTATACTGGCTGAGTAATAAGCATAGAAATACAAGGAAATCAAGGTAGTACTAGCCCCGAAACCATGTGTGTTGTCCCATATATAGCTTTCTATGTGAGTGCTTGTTACTTTACCAAGATTCGGTCAAAATTATTATGATTTTGATGACTCCAGAACCTTGCAGTGCTCACCAATACTTACATGCTACATGATCAACTGTTTCTGATCCTTTCCACACCTTTTCTTTCACAATGCAATCGCATTACCAGTACTAAAGTTTATCTTTAAACCTGAATATTTGACATGGTCCCCCTCTTTTTGTAGAGGCCAGAGCATTCCTCAGCTCTGGGAGGTACATGTATGATCAATAAGCTTATTAGGATCATGGAATTCCTATAAATAGATATCTTGAAAATTCAGCCTTGATATAAACAGCAGGCCCATATGAGGGAAGTTTGAAACCAGGTAAATTTTTGGTAAAATTAGAATTACATCTCATTACATTCTCAACAAGAGAACTTTACCTTAAATGTTCTATTTTCTCATCTCTCTTATCTATTTACTTCTATGGAACATCACAAAATTAAAAAGAAACAAAAAATGTTGTGGTATTCGATGACCTAACATTATCAATAATGTGTTTGTCATATATTCCCTCATCACTTGAACCTGAACCTGGGTCTAAGATCACAATTCCAAAGGGAATATCAATATTCAGACCTCAGACTAACTTCCTCTCGTTAAACGCGACTTTGAACAATACTTTCAGCCCAGTGTCAGGTTTAAGTTAGTAGAATATGGGCTACTGGGTATGTGTACTCTACATATTCATGAAAACAAATTACATGAAAGGAAGGTTATGGGACTAAGGAATCAAAAAGTAACGTAATACTCAAAGACAGTGTATGTAGTACTCTTCTCATCCCCTCCCATTATGATCCTTCCCAGTCCATACACTTTGAACCCTGGGAGGATGATGTCATTGGGGATTCCCCACAGACAATGATGTCACTGGGGGTTCCCCCTCCTGATCTTTGATATGCCTTCTATTACAAAAAATTATTTTGTGACACATTCTCATTCTCACGCTCTACTGAAAGGATAATCATTGTGAATTTAGGGACCTTTGTGCCAATATTTTACAAGAGATCACAAAATTGAATGGAATTATGACAAAAACAAACATTTATCTCACCATCGTGCAAAAAATGAAAGCAAGAATTTTGTAAGTATTCATATAGGGATTAAAAGGCAGACTTAAAATTCATTGCAAAGAAGTGAAATAGCACTTATCACTTCCTTTTAAAGCCCCACTGTCCTACTTGTAGATACTTGCTCCCTCTATATAGAAAACAATGCCTAATCAGTGACCATACGTCCCCCATGATCCTCTTTTTCTTATGTTAATTGAGAGCTGAGTTGATGAGAAAGCCACCTGTCATATTGACCACACTGTGGGGTCTAATCCCTCCCGGATAAAACTAAGACAGCTGGCTTTTAAGTTTTAAGTAAAATAGTATATAGTCTAATAGTTGAAATTGGACAATGATACTATCAGCGTGTCCACACACAAAACAATTTATCCCGAAACTCTATAACGATACGTCGTATAAAGAATCATCGTACAAATTCCAGGATGTCCACACACAAGAAACGTCGTCACTAAAGAATCATTGTATAAATTCCAGGGTGTCCACACACACACAAAAGTTATCCCGAAACTCTATAACGAAACGTCGTATATGTGCGCAGTTTGCTACTGCGCAGTCGAAACCGAGACAGAAACACATGTGCAGCACCACTAGTACTATTTTGCATTGACTGTGCCACTGGAACAATGCATGCAGTATATTTATGTATAATCAGCTGGCTGCGCAGCGGTCATGAAACGGAAGCAGAAATGAGAGCTCATATCTCCTTTCGCTCGAGGTCACGTTAAGCCCCGCCCAGTTAGACTAGTTCCGTCCACACACAAAATTTCCGTGATTAGGCGTGATTCTTTATCGAGTTTCAGTTCGAAACGATGCCCAAACCTGCGTTTCGTTAGACTAGTTTCGTTATACGACGTATCGTTAGTGAGCGTCCACACCTACAATTTTCATCGTAAAACTATAGCGAAACGGTATCACTATCGCGAAACGGTATAGCTTATCACGGAAAATGTTGTGTGTGGACAGGGGGTATGTGGATGGGGCTATATTTCTAAAAAACATTTCTCAATGGACATTAAAGGTAATACAACGTATTGGTAAAAAAACTGAATTTATCTTTAAAAAATTGATCTTACTAAAAGGTACTTCATCAAAATAGTCTTTCATATGCACTTTGATCTAGCAAACATCCTTATCTTTGCACGCTCCCAGGATGTTCAATCTTCAGATGACAAAGACCTCTTGTGTACTCTTATCATCTCACGAAAATAATAGTCAATATTTGCATCGTCTATGCATGTTTGAATCCCTCACCTGTCACTCCCATAGTGTGCTGATCTTTTGCACCTAGGCTAGCTATCCCCAAGTGAACATGAAATGTTGGTTGGCACCGTGCCACCAGTGTTATCCAGATTTACCAGAAATCGGATAACTTTTTTTTCCCAATTTTTATTTTTGGTCTGTTTTCACTCAAACTTTATGATCATCTTTAATTGTACATCTAGCATTGAAGTCACTACCTTAGTTTGGTTTAACAAATTATTTTAATTCAATATGGAAAATTCAACTTGTGTGAATCCGAGTATTGCAGAGTTAACTGTGCTATTTTTTTTTAGACACATTGTCTAACTAGTCATAGATTTTGAGAAAAAAAAAAAATATTTATGACACTGCATGGCACTGCAGGGGTTTAAGTGTGTGTACAATTATCTTACATAGTTTTCTCACATGAATTCCTTCCGGTGTCTTTATTTTATCTTCTCTTTTTTCAGTTTTCAAGTGCCAATGGACTTTGTAGTGTATGGATATTTATCTTTCATTTCCATTTGTGCATACATTTCACACAGTTCTCAAGAGAGAAGGTCTCTGTTAACACCATCTCCTGTCTCATTTTACAGTGTGAATGGACCTTAGAGTGTCTTCATAACAATCTATTGTCTATGTTCATATGTGGACAGTTTGCACAGTTTGACAGTGTGAATAAACCTTAAAGTATCTGCATAATAATCTCTTGTCACCCTTTATGTGGACAATTTCCCTTCATATGTGGACAGTTTGCACAGTTTTACAGTGTGAATGGACCTTAGAGTGTCTGCATACTAATCTCTTGTCTCCCTTCATGTGTGGACAGTTTACACAGTTTTAAAGTGTGAATGGACCTTAGAGTGTCTTCATAATGATCCCTTGTCTCCCTTTATGCATGTATATGGACAGATTGCACAGTTTTACAGTGTGAATGAACCGTAGAGTGTCTTCATTATAATCTCTTGTCTACCTTTGTATATGGATAGTTAAAGTGTGAATGGACCTTGGAGTGTCTTCATAATGATCCCTTGTCTCCCTTTGCATACATGTGGAAAGTTTTGAAATTGAAGTGTGAATGACCTTATATCTGATAATTATCTGCTACCTCCCACCAGCTGTACCTAGGTGTCCCATCACACATAAGCAGGTGACAGGTTGGGAATAGGATTGTAAAAGGAGTCACACCTGTCAATACTGGTTCATCTGCACAGGATGGGGTCAACGGACTATAAACAGACCCCAGTGAATAGAGTGTTGTCTTGATATAATGATGAATGTGAGGAGATCAATAGTGATGATGGATATCACGCTGGAGATGTGGAAATGACAGTGATGGGCATGATGAATATGATAATGGTGGTGATTATGATGGTGACGGTGGTGGTGGTGATGATTGCGATGATGATGGTGGTGGTGGTGGTGGTGGTGGTGATGATGATCGTGGTGGCGACAACAATGATGGTGATGGTAATAGGGACTTTTAGATTGAAGGTGTGAATGTCCACTGATCATGCATGTCCATGGCAAGCCGTTTTAACATTTATTCCTATTTCTTGATATCAAGAAATGATTTTCTGTTGTAAAGCAATGGTAGTTCTTGATATAAAGAATTGGATTCTTGATATCAAGGAATAGGAATGAATGTTAAAACTGCTTGCCATGGACACGCATGATCAGTGGACGTTCATGCCATTCTTGTCCACTCAATCTAGAAGTCCCTATTGATGATGATGGTAGTGGTGGAGATGGTGATGATCGACTGAGATGGTGATGACTATGATGATGACTGTGATGATAATGATGATAATGCTTGTTTTGAACCATACAAGATACTAAATAATGATAACATATACATTGTTGACGTTTTTGCTTACACACAGAACTATGACTCAAACGTATGTAAACAGTCATTATAAGATAAGAATCAAATACATGAACAGATAAGGACCAAGTCCATGGAGTTTCAACATAAACCTGAAGAACTTGGAGGTTTAAAAACTGTTTTGTTTAAATATAATAATGTATGTGATGATGTTTGAAGATGTGGATGTGAAGATAATGAGGATTAATGCCTTACCAAAGAGCACAAGTGCTTTGACTTGGTTTCAAACCTGGGACCTCCCGGTTATGAGACCACTGGTTTATTATACCACTGCAGACATGTACAAAGGTGGGAATCTTTTAGAAGTGAGTGAGGACAATGACAACCTCTCGTTTAAAACAGACAAACTATTTGACCTATTATTACCTACCTCATCATCATAAGTGAAAGGACTAGTCTTGGCTCCATCCTCAGTCTGTTGAACATACAGGGTACCCTCCAAACCAAACTTAGGAATGAAGATCTGAAGAGCGTTCTTCCTCACACCAATCACATACCCATCTTCATCAACCGTCTTGTCTTTGAAGAATATCTACAAGGGAGAAACAAGAGGAAAGGGGCAAAGGTTAATTATGATGTAAATGGTTGAAAATGGGTTTACAAATGATGATTATATAAATGAACTTTTATGGAAGCTAACAGTCTTTGTTTCAATCCTTAGATGATCAACAATTAAATCTCCCACTGTTATCAATAATGATGTTCTTGAAATATGACTGATGTAGCGTTACTTCCATTTATCTTTTGGGCAAACTCATATGTGAGTACAAAATATCTTTGATACAGGATTTTTAATGATGGTACCCCAAAGATCAATTTCATCGACGTAAATCACCATTCATCATTATAATCGTTATCGTCGTTACCATTAGTCACCACCATTATCATCAATATCACCATCACCATCATCATTGTCTTCACCTTCATTTCTGCTTTCAATGAGTTGTACTGATTTTCCGAGAGCCTTTTAATATGTACATTTAGAAAAAAAGAATTGTCCCTAAATTTGAAATTCCTAGAACTATGATTTGATAATGATAAAGAACAATTTGATACCTAATTCTTATGAATTCCCCAACATTTTTTTTTTTATACAGGCAAATAACACATAATTCTTCACATTTGCAATAACATGATTGCCTTCATGTTCAATATTCTTGTAGCTGATAAAAACTTACTTTTAAAAATGAAAGTGATTAAATACAGCAATCATGAGTAAGGCAGCTTGAATGTGATTTAATCTTGTATTTGCATATAAATGAAGATTAGAGAGTTATTTCCTGGTTGGGTATAGGTAGTTCTTTTCTTTTCTATGTATAGAACCATTATCTACCCACACATATCCATCTTTATGTAAGTCAGCCTACCAGTAGGAATACTATACCATCTTCAAGGAAATAAACGGCACTATAAACAAATCATATCTATCTTTGGTCGAAATCTCAGATTTAACACACTGGTAATCTATCATTATCTTCCTCGAGCATACTTTTTTGTGGGTATAATGAAATATATCATTTAAATAATTATAAATGTATTGACTTTCAGGTTTACAAAATTCCTACAGGGTACTAGGTATGACTACAGGGTACTAGGTATGACTACAGGGTACTAGGTATGACTACAGGGTACTAGGTATGACTACAGGGTACTAGGTATGACTACAGATTGTGCACAAAGCTCCATTTTGCAGGAACAAATCCTTGTAAATCTCACAGCAATCTCACATGGTGCACCCGAAAGCCTGCTGTACAAATCCTTGTAAGAAAGTTGTAATTAATAATGGAGGGTTTTTAACTATAAGACTACAGAGACTGTACTTCACTTTCCCAAAACAGAAGCTACCGGTACTCCAGACAGAGTTAGGCTCGGCTCAAGGCATTACAGAATTTTACAAATCAGCAAGTGGAGTCTGTGTCTACAGACTAACACCACTACTTGTATGACCTCAACAAATATGGAGGGTTCAGCCAAAAGTATAGAAAGACTTCTAGAAGTATAGGCCGATATACCCCTTCCAGCGGTACAAACTGACACTCTTTTGCTCACCAAGCCATAGTAACGCATACGATTGAAAGGGCAGAGAACAAAAGCAAAAATCTCAGTTTCCCACTTCAACAACTCCAAAGAATGTGCCTTACGAAGAAGACCTACGCCCCGTCTTCTAAAGAGTCGATATCGATCGCAACTTATTTGCAATGGATATCAATTTCAACTATGTACATAAGACATAGGAGACTGCAAACTTGTGATTGATTGGAGGACTTACGATTGATTTAGATCAATCGTAACTCTTCGTAAGACAGGGCCGTGGGCTCATATTCATTAAACCGTAATATACTGTAAGCTAGTTGTCAACTAACTACCGTATGTTTCATGAATAGGTTTTATGAATATGGGCCAGGGCTACATGTAGCTCTAAGGGGCTGGTCTAATATGAATGATATTCATTTCATTATGATAAGCTGTTATCTATTGTTGTACCAATTTTACTTGGCAGGTATCATAATAATATCATAATTAAGAGTAAATAGGTTGGAAATATTCAGTTTTATTTCCCTCATTATGACTGGACTGCTCATTATTACCTTTATCTCACCCTGTGTCTAGACAAGTGAAATCCATCACAAGGCTTTACAACCATCATAAAAATCAGGGTGCTGCTCTAGTCTCTGCTTCATATCATATGAAAGTTGTATAACTGGGCATGGCCTATCACGAGTGCGCAATGACCATTGACCAGCTCTCGTGTCAGCTGACCTCTTCAAAAGTATAATGTTTCTTTATATGATGTTGTTTTCTGTCCTTATGCCCCTTTTGCTATAAGAGATTGGAAGAAAAGTTACTGGTCCCAAAAGTCTACGCAGCTCATTGCTATATTGCTAAGAACCCTCACCAGTCTGCCTGTCACAAGGCCATGGTGGTAATACAATACCCTGTTCACACAAAGGGAAATTTCTAAGAAATTTGTTGATAGAATCTGTTTTAAAGAATCATTATAGAGGGGCGTACACGCATTAGAATAAGTATTGTTGTTATTACAATTTGATATTTTAATCCAAGATGATGCTCAAACCTCTGTTTCACTAATAGACATTTATTTAATATGACTACATAACATGATTACTTATTGATAGCTATTAGCTATACCATTAATCTTTGTTGTCTGAACTAGGGGGGGGGGGGGGGTGGTGACCTCTCTGAGAAAGAAGAGATTTGATCGATATCTGCATACCAGCAAATGTGTTTCGTCCGATGTAGAAAATACAACCCTGTTGATCTACTTACATTACTTGCATAATGTTGAATAAAAAGATCAAATTTGGAAAATTAATTTTTCTCTAGATTTGAGTTGTATCTGTTTGCATCTTGGCATCTACACTATTCTCTGTTTATTTTTTTTTATGCTGGCCTACATTGTAAATGATCTAAAAGAAAATCTATGTAAGAAGGCATACAGACATCAACTGATTTAGAGTTCTCTCTCTAATTGAATTGTGTGGCTTTCGCTTTTGAAAAAAAAATGTCATTCATTATGAAAACATAAGTGAAACTAGATTGCCAATAATTCATTATGTACCAATATGCTATCAATATATTCTCTCCAGGTAAATTTGACATTGTCTTCTAAACTATAAGAAAATCTGATTGATCATTACAAAAAAAGCAATAACATCAACTCTGGTAATTCATAACTCTTTCCTATGCTAAACAAATTATAATAATGTTGAGGCCAGTCTCATTTAAATTCAATGGAGTATTCCTAGAAAATCGATTCCCAGTCGTACCATTCCATATACGGTATATTCAAGAAGCCTACAATACATGTACACTTTTCTGTGATGGGATTCTGAGTAAAAGTGGTTGGAAGGAAATTGCTTTTACTATTGAAAGCCAGCCAGGGTATTCCAATGTATCTCTACCTTTGAGAATTGCAGGAATCTATGGTCAGAACAAGCCCAACACCTGGTGGCACAACTATAACATTACGATGTCATCCAAGGGCAAATACCACCTCCCTATTTGCCCAACTCTAACAATACTTTCAGTTTGCATTGCCATTTCACGACTGCAAGAATCGGTTGGATTGAAGAGGGTTTTTTTTTCTTTCTCTCATGAAACTTCACAGTATTTCACTGATGTGACAGCGCGCCTGAGCCTGCGAAGATATAACTTAGGTTCACACGACAGAGAGTCCATAAACTAAGAGGGCAATCCATGTTTTAACTTCATTTGAATGGTAGCAAAGAAGTCAGAGAAATAGAATGGTGAAAGCTTTAAATAAATCAGACCGATAATAAGAAAGTTATGAATGTTTGAAATATAAGATCACTAAAGCTATGCAAATCTCTATCAGGTAATTTTGGTCAGTGGACTGTCATGGATAACTCTCCAGTTTGTCGATGGCATTTAGGAGAAAAAACAAATATCATTAACTTTTTGTTTTTTCTCCTAAATGCCATCTCACATGGGGCACTACTCACAATATATTATGGATATCATATTATCACAGGTCCTCTAAAGAGAAAAGACCCTCCTGAATCATTGAGTCATTTTGTGCCTTGGAACAAATGGGAAAGTTGACCACCACTACATCAGACAGACATTACCAATTCAGTCAATTTAAAGAGCCCATATCTATAGTGATTACAACTAACTTTCTCAACTTTTGTCTGATTTCATTCAAACTTTCACCAGAGTTTTCTGCTTTCTTCTAGAGTAGTTTGCCATCAAGGTTGGATTTCTCTTTAAAGTTTAGGTGGTGGTTTTAAACTTTGAGGTCATCTTGTAGTCAGGAATGGTACAGACACAATTGTGCTTGAAGATTATTCAAAGTTATAAACCATGAGTGATCTTGTGATTAATGCATTAACTATGAGCAGGGGGGAGGGGGAGGGGAGATTGAGGTCCTCACTCAAAGTTTTGTGCCGACGCAACTAACTTCCTGCTTGTCCGGCTAGTGGTTTCAAATTTTAAAAACTCACTGTATTGGTCCTGTAGATCGTTGTTTTAAACCTTCAATTATAATCTGGAATTGTCCTGTGTGAACCTAGCCCTTGTTATGACCAGACAAGCATTTGAGACATGGCACACCCATGTAGTCCAAGGGCAAGCCATGTGTACATACCAGCTCCTTATGCAAGCCCAACTATGACAATAAAAAGGCCTGTTTACACAGCTCAAACACCATGTTGAGGACGATTTTTGCAAAAAATCCACTTCTGGATTTTTTTTTTTAAAGCCTGCAGTGCATGCATACTACTCGCCAACAAATCGGAATAATCAAATATCAAAAAGTTCAGTGCCCTAACCATGGATGGAAGTATAGCTTTAACCAAGCATTTATTATTAGTGTTTTTGACCTTTTTTTCCTCATGACAATTAAGAAGAATTTAAATGGCTAGTTCTGACCTGACCATGCACCGTGGTATGACAACACAAGAATACAGTCACTGGAGCACATATGTAGTCCAAGGGAAAGCCATATTTGTCTGATTTGCCCAACTCTAAAACTTAAAGTCTTCAAGTTTG